CGTAATGGAAACTATAGTCTGTGACAGAAAATTGTCTATGCAGGTCGAGGTCTTCGTAAAGGCCCCATATATCAGTACCTCCCTATATTCGGTATTTTGACAAATTTAGGTACAATACCCACCGAAATTGTTTGAGATATCGTATTTGACGTAAGTAATGGATGCTATAGCCTGTGACAGAAAATTGTCTATGCTGGGCCTTCGCACAGCTCCGGTATAACGGTACCTCCCTAATACGATATTTTGATGATTTTAGCTACATTATTCACCGTTTATTTCAATTTTCGAATTTGAATATGGTAATGGCTAATGGCAAACAATGCCTATGTAGGTCGACGTCGTATAGACCCCAATATAACGGCTATATTCGGTATTTTTAAAATTTTAACAGAATGTTTTTAGTTTTTTTTTTTTTTGAAAGTTTCCAACTACGTTCCAAATGGTGGAGGATATTCAAAGTTCGGCCCGGCCGAACTTACTGCTTTTTAACTTGTTTCAATTTGACTTAGTATTGAAGTGTATATTTTGCAATATTTTTCACCTTACAACACAGGTTGGGGTTATTATATACACACTGCAATTATCGTCCGATCCTCACGAAAAAGGGTAGTGTTAGGCCAAGAAGAACTAGGCCTATTGTTTTCAAAGATGTCTGCAATATATTTAAGGTTGAAATGGACCAAAAACGGAAAACAATTCTAATCACACAATTGAAGCCAATCGACACGCCTGAGAAGAGAGTTAACGACAGGAAAGAATTCTAGCATTTTGTATGACCATTGGATTATATTTAGCTGTAAAATGGACCACAACAACTAACAGCACGACGAAGTGCGTAAATATTGGGCAAATGTTCCGGATGAACAATATATATATGGGAACTATAGCTACATCTAAACCGATTTTCACCAAATTTGACATACTAGCTTCTAGATTCAATTCGGTCATAAGTGCCAAATTCCATCCCATTTGGACAAATATTAGACGTTTGGTGCACAATAAAATGTAAATCGGACGAAGATATATTTGGGAGCTATATCCAAATCTGACCCGATCTCGATAAAATTTTGCAAAGGTATTTCTGAGCTGTATTTGATGTGTTTCCCCAAATATTGTTCTTACAGAGTGCATATTACGGCTGCGGAGGACAAAAATAACAAATCGGATGAAAAATATATATGGAAGCTATAGCCATATCTGAACCGGTTTCGATCAAATTTAGTATACTTATTTGCAGGCCTAGTTTGGCAAATCGGACGAAGATATATATGGGATCTCTATCTAAATTTTTACCGATTATCTCCAATTTCAATAGGGTTCGTCCTTGGGCCAAACAAATGGTTTGTGCAAAATTTCATCTGAATCGGGCAATAAATGCGAACTGTACTTTGTTTGCAAAAATACATGGACAGACGAACGGACATGCATAAATCGCCTCAGAATGTGATTCTATGCAGATTATCAAAAGGAACTATGGGTCTATCTCGTTTCCTTTTGCCTGTTACACACAAAGACATGAACACCTTGTGGTGTAGGGTATAAATATCACTTATGGCCTCTAAAAATACAAGTAAGCCCCATACTATTGCGATATTTTTTTCCAATCCATAAATTAACCTTAACTCTTATGTTTCTTTTTACTGCTACTCTTATCAATGAACATTGGTATTTCATTCACCGTGAGCCTCTAAAATCTGATATCATTTTGCCTTTTTTTATTTTTTTTTGCGACAAACTTTTTTTCGAACCTAGCAAAATTTTATCTAACAGCCAATGTGAACTTTATTTATCTAACTTTTTGGTACAAAAGAAACAAAAAAAAATCTAAAACACTTGCAATACTGCCATCAAGGTTCCATGATGATTCCAAAAATAATGAAGAGAATAATTGATGATGCATTCAAGCAATGGGCAAATATTTTCATTAGCTTGGTGTGTTTGTCAGACTGGGTTACTGAATAGATGGCTGTTTGTTTTTTTAATCGTTCGCATGTCACATTAAATTTACACTGTTAATTAAATCAAACAAATGTCAGCAACCAGTTAGCTAAAATAAACAAAGTGCTTAGGAGGAGAAAAAAAACTATGTATTTACAAACTATTAATGTATTTGAAATTTGTCATTTGTCATCATTACTTGGAAGTGTATTGGGATAAGATGAAGGAAAAACGGGATGGTGTGAAAAGGACGTATCGAAAAAAAAAAAAACAGTGTATGAGGTACCAGAAGAAATGGTTCGATCTCTACCATTTTTATAATCTATCCTTATATGAGCTTCATTGATATTAAAAATGGTGACTCTTTGTCGGGAGGTACCACAATGAGTGGACCGATATTTCCAACTTCACACCAGACCTTGAATTAATAAAAATATTGTGATATGTGCAATTTTATAAGAGTAATAATTGTATAAAATGTTGATCCTCTGTGGGGGGGGGGGGGGGGTACTATATGTAGTGGACCGATATTGTCCATTTTCGTATCTGCATATTAGGATTTGCAAAGTTGTAGCAAAATCGCATTATTCTTTCTCTATCCATGCTGTTAAATATTTTTTTGAAAATTTCAGCCAGTTGTGGGCAAAGTACCAGAAGGGGTGCATCGATATTGCCCATCTCCGAACTCGATCTATGTTTGATAACAATATTATCTCATGCAGCCAGCCAGATGGGCGGTCTGACACCTCCAAACGCCCTGAAACGAATTATGCCTCTTTGGACAAAATTCGTTCCAGCACGTTTGGAGAAGTTTTGGAGGGTCTAAAAGCGTTGTGTCAATGAGGCTCATTTTCGCCGTATCGAATAATATACGGGGTGATATGAAAACACTGCAACCAACTTCAGACTGCTGTCATTTCTAAGCCACTCGTCCGACAGCTGCTAAAATTATTCCAGTGACAGCTCATCATATTATTTACAAGCATACAAAAGCATTTTGGTGAGAATTTCCCAGAAAAAAGTTATCCGTGATGGAATTCAAGCGTGATAGTGTGATTCCTTCCGATACTTGGCTGGAAAACCACAAGTGGCTACCGTTAGGGCACTCCAGCATTTAAAAGTGAATAAATCTCTTGTGTCTCGTACCATCGCTCGTTACTGTGATACTGGTAGCGTAGCCCGACGTCAAAGAAGTGGACGGAAGAAAACAGCAAAATCGGCAGAAATGGCGACTTGATCGAAACCCTCGTCGTAGTGGCCGAAAAATGGCTCGTGAGTTGAACATATCGAAATATTCCATTCGGCAAATATTGAAATATGATCTCGGGGTAAAGCCATAGAAATTTCAAAAAGTGCAAAGAACACCACAACAGAAAGAAAATAGACTCAAAAGAGCTAAAGAGTTGCTTCGCCTGACCGAAAGTGGTGAACTGCCGAATTTGGTTTTCTCCAATGAGAAAACATTCCTTGTCCAGCAGTTTGTAAACAAACAAAATGATCGTGTTTACTTGCCAAACAGGTCAGCTGAAAATGTGCACCTTCGGTTGGCCATCAGAACTCAAGCACCGGCCACCGGTGTGGGCCGTCATAACAGCCGATGGTCGCTCTCCGCTCGTATTAATCGACCATGGCATCAGAATAAATGGCGAATATTATCGTGAAAATATTCTGGAGGGTGTATTAAAGCCTTGGGCCCGCAAACATTTTGGCCGCAGACCTTGGATTTTCCAACGGGACTCAGCACCAGCGTACGCAGCACGCGCCACCCAAGATTGGTTGCAAAATGAGGTTCCTCGCTTCATTTCCAGCGCACAATGGCCACCAAAATCTCCGGATACCAATCCGTTGGACTATTGTGCCTGTAGTATTTTGGAAAGCAAAGTTGGCAGTAAAAATACCAAAGTTTCGATCACCTCAAGCCAGCGCTTCGCCGGGAATGGGCGAAAATACCGCAGAGCAACATTCGGACAGCGTGTGACGGTTTCATTGGCCATTTGAAGATCATAATTCGTGCCAAAGTTGACCAATTCGATCAAATCAAAACTTATTCTGATGCTGTTTCCGACATTTTCTCCTTTCATTTAATAAAATTTAAAAAAAAATGTAAAAATTATGGCGTTTGACTCTGTTGCATTTTTTTTATCTCACCCTTTAAGTACGACTTTAACCCTAAAAATTTGTTTTTGATATAAAATTCCTAGCGTTTGGGTTAGATTTACAATTTTTATGTCTTCTGGGACCTACGGTAGAATTTTATGACAAATAATTTTGTAGAATATTTTGACTGGCTTCAATCCCGTTTTAATTATTTTTACCATATTTTCAAAATAGGACCGAAAACACAAACTTCTTGACTCACTTGAGTGCTACAATTTCGGGTCAAAATAATTCTCATATTGTTTTTCGTAATATCACCGAAGAAACTATATACCCAAAATCAACGGATTCCAAGGAATCTCAATCTGAAATTTTCCAAAAGTGTGGTAGAAGGGAGAATTTACCCTTCTACTTTCATCATATTGCAATGGAAACTTTCAAAACGCCGGTACCCGAGTCTTGTATTTATGGATATACTTTCAGAATCTGCTGCATTTTTCCTGTAGTTATTGAGAAAATTGAATTTTGTCGCACAGGCTATTTAAAGCTATCTGTAATCGAAACCCAAATTATTTGTGGAATTCTAATATTCTATCTCTTAAAATGAAATCATAACTTCGGCCTAAAAAAGACTTTGACTCTACCGTACCATTTAGAACGAATTTCCCAAAATGTTGACTTTTGCGGCCCCTACAACCCAAAATTAATATAATTTTCAAGATTTATTTAAATCTTCTTCATAATTCGGGGGAATTATTTTTTTTTTTATGTTTTCCTCATAAAAATCTTCATTTCCATGAGTAATTTCCCCTGTGCTGGTGAATCCCAAATAAGCAAAGAATGAACTAAATTGATAAGACTAAGAGGCCAGGCTACAAATAATTAAAGAAAAAGACTAAGACGATGTCACAAATGATATCAGTATACAATATACCATTCATTCAAAGTATCATCACTCGGAAATTAAAGCTTAAACATGAAGTGCATTGTATTATTGGCAGCTTGTGTTGGCATCTTAGCAATTTCCACAATAACCGATGCTCAACCACAACGAGTTCGTGTACAAAAATTGCCATACTATCCACCACCTACCCAGGCGCCAAGGACCATGAGAGCTCGTCGTTCTCCCGATTGTCACTCAAGAAGGTAGGTCATATTTTCCACAAATTCCTAAAAAAAATATTCAAAATTCGTTTCCTTTCATAGCAACGGTATTTCAGTTAAGACCAACTCGGCAAGTGGCACCCTCTTGAATGGAGCTTCCAATAGAATAGGTGGTACAGTGACTCAAAGCAAAACCTATTTTCCAAATGGACAATTTTCAGAATCCTCATCGGGTTCCATAGATTGGAAGAACTCTATGGGCGTTGGTGGCTCGCTAAGTCGTGACATTAACAAGGGTCACAGTGATACTTTTACCAAATCGTTGGGTGTCAACATCTTCAACAATGATCGGAACAGTGTCGATGCCGCCTATTCACAGTCGAGGACAAATTTGAATAACGGGTTTGGTTTTAACAAAGAAAGTGGTTCTGTGAACTGGTCCAATACCGGAGGTCATGGTGCGACCGTTGCTGTCAATCGTTTTGAAGGATTTGGCAAACAGGCCTCTGTTGGTGGCCATACAAATTTGTTTACTTCCAGTGATGGCAATACTCGTATCGATGCCTTTGGTTCCGGTTCGAAGTGGTTAAGCGGCCCAATGCAAGGTGATAAAGAAATGAATGTTGGCATTGGTGGAAGTCATTCGTTTAAGGGTTAAGAAGTGTCAATTTGAGAAAAATCAATTTTTTTTGCAAATTAATTTTTTTTATTAATTTTCAATGTTTATTTTAAATTATAAATAATAATAAGTATTTAAATATAAAACAATAATTAAACAATTTTAATGAGTGGTTTTAGTTCAGATAGTCCTCAAAGATAATAACAATTTAAAATCCTAGGCTTGATGGTTGAATAATATTTTCTATCTTTAAAACCTACAAGAGTCTACTAGTTGTGCCATGTTTAGTTTTTTTTTTTTTTTTTTTTTTTTTTGTAAGAAAAAACTCTTTTTTTATACCCTCCACCATACTGTGGAGGTCTGTCTGTCCGTCTGTCTGTATGTTGTAATCACGCTATCTTTCGAACGAATTGAGATAGAAGGCTAAAATTTTGCACACATGTTTATTTGCCGATAGGAAGGTTGAGTTCGTAAATGGGCCATATAACCCCCATATAACGGCACATCCAGATATTCGGTTTTTTGATGATTTTAGCGACATTATTCATTCAAAGAAAAATGTTCAAAGTTTCAAATTTTGTATTTGATGTTTGTAATGGATGCTACAGCCAATGACAGAAATTTGTCTGTTTAGGTCCACGTCTTCGTATAGCCCCCATATAACGGCACATCCGGATATTCGGTTTTTGATGATTTTGGCGACATTATTAACCGGAATAGTCTCAAATTTGGTATTTGAAGTTCGAAATGAATACTACAGCCTAAGATAGAAAATCGCCTGTGCAGGTCCACGTCTTCGTATAGCCCCCATATAACGGTACCTCCCGATATTCAGTATTTTGATGATTTTAGCGTCATTATTCACCGGAATTATTTCAAATTACGTATGTAGAGCTCGTTATGGGAACTACAGTCTGTGACAGAAAGTTGCCTATGCAGATCCAGGTCTTGGTATAGGCCCCATATATCAGTACCTCCCTATAATCGGTATTTTGAAGATTTTAGGTTTGAGATGTCATATTTGAATTTAGTAATAGAAGCTTCAGCCTGTGACAGAAAATTTTTTATGCAGGTCCAGGACTTCGTATAGCTCCGATATAATAGTACCTCCCTATTCTCAGTATTTTGATGATTTTAGCTATATTATTCACCGTTAAGGTATTTTTAAGATGTTAACAGAATTTTTGGCGAATATTATCATTTTCGAAAATTTCCAAATTCGTTCCAAATGGTGGAGGGTATTCAAAGTTCAGCCCGGCCGAACTTACTGCTTGTTTACGTGTTTTTTTTTTTTTTTTTTTTTTTTTTTTTTTTTTTTTTTGTAAGAGAAAAAACTTTTTTTAATATCAAAAGTCATTCACTATTTTAATTTGTACCAGATCTAGTACCATTTAGTATACATAAGTACAAATTTTCAAACCTTCCTACATACCCTAAACCTACACTCCTAAAGTAATCCCAATTCACAATTTTGGGATTCCAACCAACCCTGTTGATTTGTGTTTTTTGCTTAGTACAGTTTAGTACAAATAAATACAAGTTTCAAAAATTATCAACATAACCCAATCCTACACTCCAAGAGTAATCTTATTTCAAATTTTAAGGATACCAGCTCTATTGGTTCACTCAAATCCAAATTTTACAAAATCTATTACCATTTAGTACACTCAAGTAAAAGTTATCATAACTACCTACATCAGACAGTCAAATAGAAATCATATTTTGAACTTTTAATCCCCTCCACCATAGGGTAAATAAAACACTAGAACCAATTATGACCCACAAATATCAATTTTAGACATATTCATGGGAAAATGTCGCAAAAATCATCAAAATACCGAATATCGGGAGGTACCGCTATATAGGGATATACAAAAACGTGGACCTATACATACAATGTTTCGCCACATTAACTAGGACCCATTATGACCTACAAATACCAATTCTCAGACAAATCCGTGAAAAAATGTGGCAAAAATCATCAAAATACCGTATCTCGGGAGGTACAGTTATATGGGGGCTATACCAAAACGTGGACCTATACATGCAATGTTTCGCCACCGAAGATTGGACCAATTATGACCAACAAATACCAAATTTTACAAAAATCCATGAAAAAATGGGGGAAAATCATCAAAATACCGAATTTCGGGAGGTACCGTTATATGGGGCCATACCAAAGCGTTGGCCTATACATAAAATGCTTTTCAACACGAACTAGGGCCCATTATGACCTACAAATACCAATTTTCGGACAAATCCGTGAAAAAGTGTGGCAAAAAACATCAAAATACCGAATATCGGGAGGTACCGTTATATGTGGACTATACCAAAACGTGGACCGAAATGAGATATTTTCAATACCAACCATCCTACCCACAATACAAATTATTCTGCTAAATTTTGACGCTCTACGTCAAATAATGTGGCCTGTATCGTGATTTCAACAGACAGACAGACGGACAGACAGACAGACGGAAAGACATGCAGACAGACGGACATCGGAATGACAAAGTTAATTTACCCTCCTTTCCAAGGTGGAGGGTAAAAAAATTGAGTACATATAAGTACGAATTTCCAAAACTACCTATATTAAGCAGTCCTAGAATGCAATAGTAATCTTATTTCTAAATTTCAGAATTCCTGCTCTATCGGTTCACCCAAATCGAAATTGTACCAAATTTAGTACCAATTTAGTACTTTTCGTGTACATAAGTACAAATTACAAAAACTTCCTCCACATCCCAAATCCAACACTCCGCCGCCAAATTTTAGGATTATAAAATTGTACTAAATAAAGTACCGTTTAGTACTTTGCGTATAAATGACTCCACACTTCCAGAACTCAAACTTTACATCGACTCTACTCCTCAACATTGATTCCCATTTCGAAATTCCAGTTTTTAGCTCTAACCATTAACACGATGGTATAAAATGGTACCAAATGTAGTATATTTTAGTACTTTTCGTACACTTATCTATCATCTTATCTTATCTTATCTATCATACACTCCATCGGTGTTCCACATTCAAAATTTAAGGGTACCATATTTAGTGCCTTTTAATACTTTTCGTATCGTTCTATTACGAATTTCCAAAACGTGAATCTGACCCCTTCGCATTAAGAGTGACCCATGCCCGAAATTTCAATATTCTAGCTTCAGACGTTACGTCTGGACACTCATGAATCTTAGTCAGTCGATCAGTCAGTGAATTACTTTAGATAGATAGATATGGCCTGGCTATAAAGTCCTTACAGAGAATATTATTTTAATTTATTTTATTTGTTGTTTTTTTTATCAAGAACAAACATGTCCATTTATGTTAATGGAAAAACCTCGAAATGTTTGAATTTTTAATAATGACCCACATATGTAAAAAAATCACAAACACAAAAGTAGACAAAACCTCCAATTAATTGAGACAATCGTTTCACCCTCAATTCAAACGTTGCCCCGAATTAAATTTCAAAATAAAAGAAAAAATAATAGAAAATAAAAATAATTTCAAATTTTGAAGTTTAATGAACCATTTCAAGTACTTTGCCATACAAAACTCTATCCCAAACCCCCCCCACAACCAATCATTCTTTCACACACAAGAGGAAATACGTCAAAAAACCGCCATCAAACACTTCAAAAAGTAACCGCTACTTTGTCTTTAAATGACAAAAAAAATACGTTTGGAATAAAAGCTCATGGCAAAGCTCGCAACTACGAAAAGCACACACAAACCATGAGCTGATGTGAGTTTTGTTTGCAGATCTAGCCGACAGATTTGTTTAGCTCTTTGCGAGGTGCGGTAACGGAGAAAAAAATAGAGAGTTCGTGCGCACGCGCTTTGTGACGCGTTTTCAAAGCATCGAAATAAAAATAATAATAATTTGAAAAATAATATTGCGGCCAAATATTATTTGCAATTATCGAAAGGAAAAGTGAGATTTTAAAAATAGAAAATTTTTGAAAAATAAAGCCGAAAATTTGTGAAGGAAAAACCTCAGTGTTTGGTATTTCTGTGCAAAAAAAATTTTACGAAAAAAGTGTTGGAAATAAGATTAGCATCCCCTTATCTCATATTGTTGCTGGAATACAAAGAATTTGAAATATAATTAGCTACACGTGTTTAGAATTTTTGCAAAGGGTTATTGATTCCCATCCCAATCTATTGCCGAAAAAATATTTTAACCACAAAGAGTGAGTAATTATTTATATTTTTAGATATTCTATCAGTATTACGGTTGCTTATGCGGAAATCAGTGTGGGTCTCAAATACCTTTACAAACCAGATCGACCACAGCCATTGATTGCTGTCGATTTATTCTTTTGTCTGGCAATGTTTTTTTCTGCAGGCTTAAGAGTATTAGAAAAAAAAACGAACGGGAAACACGTTTTACGGTGTTAATGTCATTGCAATCACGCCCACTGTGCCTGTTACCAAGTACCTCCAATGCCAGTTTTTTTTTTTTTTCAAATTTTTTAAGAGACAACCCCGTGCAAATTTTATAATTAGAGTCAGTTCTAAAACAATTTGTTTGAAAATTATGTTAATTGTGAATAAACCGGATAGCAAAAAATTTCTTCTCCCAGATTAACGATTGTGGGAATTGTTTTGGTAGGAGGTAGGAGCGGTTCGGAGCACCGATTAATACTATGGATCAATAACTGAAAATTGAAAAATCTTCCACAAAAAAAAAAAAAAAAAAAAAAAACAAAAAAACTGTAAAGAAAGTCCTAAAGTCGGGCGGGGCCGACTTTATGATACCATACACCAATTTGCTAATTTAGTAGAGCTCCACATAACAATAAAAAGATTTGATGGGAGAATTTCATCATACACGCTATGATTATAATTGTAATTTAAAGTTCAAAGGACTAAATATGCCGAAGCATTTGTATCTTTTAAATTCTGACTTGTATTGCCCATTTGGTGCAAAATTAATTTGAAATCATATAAAGATATATATGGGAGCTATATCCAAATCTGAACCGATCTCGATAGAATTTTGCAAATATTTCTGAGCTGTATTTGATATATTTTCCTGAATATCGTTGTTACGGAGTGCAT